TATTTTGTGGAGGTCTCTCCATGCTTTTCTAAAATCACTGAGCTCATCATTTCTTATAGCAGAATAACATTCCATCATGAATATATACCACAATTTGTTTAGCATTCCCCAATTGATGGGCAACCCCGCAATTTCTAGTTCTTTGCCACCACAAAGAGAGCTGCTAGAAATATTTTAGAGCCCATAGGTTCTTTTCCATTGTCCCTAATCATCTTAGGAAACAGACCTAATAGTGGCATTGCTGGGTCAAAGGGTATAGGCAGTTTCATAACTCTTTAGGCATAATTCCATCTCTCTCCAAAATGGTTGGATCAGCTGACAGATCCACCAACAATAAATTAAGGTCTCAATTTTTCCACATCCCCTCTAACACTTGTCACTTTTCCCTTCTATCCTTTTAGCCAATCTGATAGGTGTAAAATGATATCTCAAGATTGTTTTAATTTGCATTTCTCTAATCAATAATGGTTTAAAGCATTTTTTCATATAACTGCACATTGTTTTGATTTCTTCATTGGAAAACTACCTGTTCATATCCTTTGACAATTTATCAATTGGCGAATGGCTTGCATTCTTGTAGATTTGACAAAGTTCTTTATATATCTGAGATGAGACTTTTATCTGAGGAATTGTGTATAAAATTTTTTCTCAGTTTTCCTTATTCTTTCCTTATGATCTTGTACAAAACCTGTTTAATTTAATATAATCAAAACTATCCATTTTATATCTCACAACACTTTCCATCTCTTGTTTGTTCATACATTGTTCATCTATCCCTAAGTCTGATAGGTAATATGTTCCCTGTTCTTCAAATTTTCTGGTAATATCTCCTTTTATATCTAGGTCATTTATCCATTTTGACTTTATCTTGATAAATGGTGTAAGATATTAGTCTATGCCCAATTTCTGCCAGACTGCCTTCCAGCTTTCCCAACAATTTTTTTTTACCAAATAATGAATTCTTATCCCAAAAACTTGAGTCTTTACATTTGTCAAACACTGGGTTACTATGTTCATTTGCTGCTGTGGATTGTATGTCTACTCTGTTCCACTGACCTACCTTTCTATTTCTTAGCCAGTATCAGATAGTTTTGATAATTTACTGCCTTATAATATGGTTTAAGATCTGGCACTGCTAAACCCCCTTCCTTTACATTTGTTTTTCCCATTAGTTCCTTTGGTATTCTTGACCTTTTGCCCAGGTCCATTGTTTTTGATAATAGATACTTGACATTTCTTTCTGTTTTTTTTTAATCTTTTGATTTCATTTTAGTATTTTATTAAATTTATTTTATATTATATTCATATATTTATATTTTATATAAATATTTATATTATTTACTATATAATTATCATATATTACATTATTATAATACATTATAACACACTATATTAATATGTTATATTACATATATTTATATAAATATAAAATAGAAATATATTTATATTATATAATATAAATACAAAATAGAAGTATATTTATATTATATTTATATGTTATATGTTATATTAAATTCATATTATATTATGTTTGTTATATTTTATTATCTCATGGGTTTGTTGCTGTCTTTTTGACCTGTTCTAATTTTCAGAAAGTTCAGTTTGGGGTGCAATTCACCACCATCTGTAATAAACTATTCATTCTTCTTGCTATGATTTCCTCCCTAGCTATCCTTTCCTTTCATGTTATATTTTGTATCTCATTTCATTTCTTCCAGGTAGTCCTTGTGGCCAAGACTTTTTTTTTCCTTCTTCTGAGGCTCTGCTAGGATTTGTTGTGTAATTACTCTCTTCTTCTGAGTTTATCCTTTGGGTGCCTTTCAGTTTATATATTTCTTTGTAGTGTTTGGCATCTTTCTTCTGTTTACTCATACCTCCAGAGACCGGTTTTAGATTGGGGATTTGTGCTAGGGTTCCACTCTGCTCCCTATCATACTCTCAAATGGCAAGGTCGAACGAGAAGGTGGAAAGACCTTGCTTGATCCTAGATGTGGGGGCTAAGACCCGGCCCTTAACCATAACAGAAATTGCTGGGTTTTAGCTTCCGTCTCCTGAAGGCTCCAGGTCATGGCCTTTGTCTTTTCTCTGTCTCCTTCTCTTGAATGGTTCAGCACCTGGAGTTGACTCCATCCTCTCAGGCCCCGTCCAGATGTTGTTAATTTTTCAGATAGCAAGCCTCCTTCGGGACCCCAGAAGCTTTACGTCCCTGGCGCTGCCTTGGCCCTTTCTTCTGTGACTCGGACTGCCTGGGTGTGAGCCAGCTGTGGCTCTGGTGGGCCACTGGTCTGACCCTCTCTCCTGCATTCCTTGCCTCATGCCCAGCCTGGCTTGTCTCCACTCAGTGCTTCCTCGAGATTCCAGCATTCCTTTTGTGCAGCCCTGGCCTGCATGGAGGAGTTTACTAATATCTCTCTTTGTTTTCTTGATCATGGTTCCCTCTGGGGTGTTTTCTTTAGAGCTTTACCAGAGTATTCGCCTCCTCTAGGTCCCAACACACAGTCTTACTACAGTCCCCTGGAAGATCAGTCAGAAATGAAGGTCACATATCATGATGCAGTAGAAAGATCAGTGGATTTAAGGGCAGAGGGCCTAGGTCAGTCAGTCAACAAGCATTTGTTAAGCACCTACTATATGCCAGCCATTGTGCTAAGATCTAGGGATACAAAAAAGGCAAAAGACGCCCCTGATCTCAAGGAGCTCACAGTCTAACGGGGAAGACAACCATGCAAACAACCCTGTCGAACTAGAGAAAGGATAGACAGGAAATAATCAATAGAAGGAGAGTATAAGCACTTAGGGGGATTGTCCCTGCTCTGTTTCTTCTTAGTCATACGACCTTGGTTAGATCATTGCCTTTCTCTGGGCCTCAGTTTCCTCTTTTGCAAAATGAGGGAGTTGGGTCAAATGGTCTCTAAGGTCATTTCCAGCCCTGATTTCTATGACCTCACGATCCAGCCACCTGTTGGTAGGTCTTGGTATCTTCCCCACTCTCACTCTCTCCCCAACTAACTCTTCAGATTTGAAGCGACAGGCCTCCTACTCTCCCTACTCCTTTCTCACAGGTTAAGGCACTGCCCCCTCTGACTGTACCCTACATTCATAGTAATATGAGAGAAAGGATTATTAAGTAACAAATTATTGGGGAGATCTCTGGCCTTGCCCACAAATTTACCCCACCTAGGTGGAGTCCTTGCTTGGCCCAACTAGAAAAACCTTAGGAAGAGATTCTAGTCTGGCCCATTGTGGGGTCAGCCAGGTCTGAGCAGAGGTGGACACCCTTTGGTCTAGATTGCCCTGGGCAGGGTAGTCTGAATAAGAGATAAGTCTTTTTGTCCATGACTGAGTGAGAATGAGTGAGCCGAGTGCCCATCCCCCTGCCCCTCATTAGAATAAGCCCACCTCTCATTATGATATTCATTCTTCTCATTAATTGTTAACAAATCAGAGTCGATTACCGCCTTCAGGAACACTCACACTTCCAAGGGCACATAAGCCGTTGAGTGGATTCCTTGAGGGGTCTTTGCCATTCAAGAGTGCCACTGACTCCTTTTTATTAATCATCTGCTAGCATAATTAATAAAACAATTACCCAGAAATTATGCCCCTTGAAATTTTTACACATCACAAATAACAACAACAACAACATGACCATTCACACATTTATTTAACACTTGAAGGTCTGCAAGGTGCTTTACAGGTATGATTTTATTTAATCCCCACAACAACCCTGTGAGGTAGGTGTTCTTATTATGCCCAGCTAACAGATTGAGAAGACTGATGCCCAGCGAGAGGCGAAGAGCCTGGCACAGGGTCACACAGCTAGGGTGAAAGGCAGGTTTCCAATCTTACTCCAAGCTCAGGGCTCTTTTTATGAGACTAGGACAGAACAGGGAGAAGGATTTGGCGGTAGGAAGGGAGGAGGGATACTGAGTTCCCTTGGGTGGGACTGGATCAGCTTACCTAATACTATTATAATGATGGCTACCATTGGTATGGTACCTTGAGTGCACTCAAATGATAATAATGGGACTTTTTCAGACTGGATCTGTGATTGTGATTCTAATGGTCCAGGCTGGGAATTCCCAATGAGGAATCTCTTCCTAACAATGAAGATCGGTACTTCCTTTGTAACTCATTCTAAGAAACCCTGGTCAGTGACAATATACCATGATTCCAAAGGACCAATGAACGCTTTCCACCTCCTGTGGCAGAGAGCGGACAGACTCAGGGAAAAAATGGAACACACATGTTTGGACGTGGTCATTGCAGGGAATCTGGTTTGCTTGGTTGTATTATTTACTCCAGGGTTTTTTCTTTTTTACTTTTTCCATTGGGGGGTTAGGGGGAAGGAAGAGAAAATAAATGCTTGTTCATTGGGGGAAAAAGTTAATTTGTAAAAGTTATAGTCTTAGAGCTTTGTTTGGGGCACAGAGAGGTTAAGGGGCTTCCCCCAGGGTCACACAGCTGGTAGGTCAGAGGCCAGAACTCAGGGAGACCTCTCTCTCTCTCTCTGTCTCTCTGTCTCTCTCTCTCCCTCTCCACTGCACCATGAGGTCTCATCAGGGTTGGCATATTGAGTAACATACATTTTCTCATTTGATCCTCACACTAAACTGTATGAAGTAGGTATTATTTTTATCCTCACTTCACAAAAAGAGAAGTCCAAGGCTAAGACAAATTAAATGACTTACCCAGGGTCACATAGCTAGTACATATATAGGGTAGAGTTCAAACCCAGATCTTCCTGAATTCCAGTCCAGTTATCTACTAGCTATACTATTTCTCTTTTTTTATTCTTATTGTAACTGCATGAGGTAGGCAGAGATAGTATTGTTATCTGTGTTTTATAGATGAGGAAACTGAGGCTCAAACAACTGAAGTGACTTGCCATAGTGACCTAGCTAGTAAGGACTGGAGGCAGGATTGGAATCCAGGGCTTTCCTGATCCCAGGCCCAGAGTTCTCTCTATCATCCCATGGTACTCACTGTGTTCCTTGCAGGTCAGTGGCCACCTGGACTACATGAAGAAAATGGAAACCATCCTGAAGGCTGTGGGGATTCGCACCAGAGAAGACAGTACTGGAGACAAGATTTTCTCCATCGCTCCCAACCTCCAGGGCAGAGGGGAACTACAGCCAGAAGCCCCAGAGCCTCCAAAAGAGAATGCAGCCACTGACCCCAGGGAGACCATCCACCCCAGCTGCCAGGCCCAGGACCCCACCTCCAGCCATGAGCAGGCCCAGGACAGTAAAGTCACAAACCATCCCAGGGTCTCCCCTGGGCCTGAATCCTGCCAGCCCCACAGTCTGGATGAGGCCTGCCATGTAGACTGCAGCCACATCCTAGGCCCAAACCCACTGGGCTGCCCAGACTGTGCCAACAATAATAAGGTAGGCAGCCCTGAGTTCAACTGACCTGGGGAAAATGGAAGATACCACCGTTCCAGGACTCTCCCTGCAACTCTCCTATCATCCTTTGCTCTGCCATCTACCTCCTGGCAGAGCCAGGGTAAGGGGTGGTGTTTGCTCTAAGGTGTTGGGTATCATGGAGCCAGAGAGAGTTTTGAAGATCTTTGACTCTGGGAAAGCAAAAGTAAGTTCTCAAGTAACTGGAAGATGAGGGATTCAAAGAAATGAGAGCTTGTCCTAGGCTTGTGTTCAGAGAGCTTTTTATAGGTCAACTAATCAGAAATTTTCAAGACTTAAGCCAATCAGACATTTCTCATACTTCTTGCCAATATCAGATGGACAGTCTAGCCAAGAAAGATGAAGATGATCCTGGGGTCAGGGTGGGCATGAGGAGAGGCTAGTATTGTACCTCTGTTGAGCCATGTCTGTTTCTCTTGTTTCATCTCCACTGTCTCTGGCTGGTACTTGTATATGGCAGCACTTAGGGACCTGAGAGATGACCCCTTGGGCCAGGGAACATCTAGACGGGGAAAAGGCAATCATAGACATGCCCATCCTGTTGTTGGGGAAAACTGATTGCCACAGAGATTACAAGACTACCAACACTGCCTGTATACATGGAGTTCTCAACCTGGTGACTAGAGATGAGTGATGCCAGGCAAGGATTTCCTGGAGTGGGGATGTGGGAAAGATAGTCCCTCACACTCATAGGTCACTTTTCACTCATCAAGTGAATTCAGATTCTCTCTTGTACCTCTTGACGTCCCTGGGAGGAAGAGAGGGAGGAAAATCAGGGACGAGCTGAACTGTACCAGATGAGAAACTGAGGCCCAGAAGGTCAACTGGCAATTAGTCTCTACATAGGAAGAGAGAAAGATGGAAGGAGATGGGACTCAGAATAGTCCATCTTTCTTTCTTAGGAGCAGCTGTGGTTACAAGGCATGTGGAGAAAATATTAAACTGAAAATTTGAAAAAGTTGAAGACAGGGGCAGCTAGGTGGTGCAGTAGATAGAGCACCGGCCCTGGATTCAGGAGGACCTGAGTTCAAATCCAGCCTCAGACACATAACACTTACTAGCTGTGTGACCCTGGGCAAGTCACTTAATCCCATTGCCTAACCAAAAAAAAAAAAGTTGAAGACATTCTGTGAAATGTAATTATCTACCTCCACAGGTCATTGGGACTTATGAGTGATAGTACATGAGGGCTAAGGGAGTGCTTAGAACAGAATGTCAGAAATGGGAAGGGATCTTAGAACACAGGATGTCAGAGCTGGGAGGGCCCTCAGAACACAGGATGTCAGAGCTGGGAGGGCCCTTAGAACGCAGGATGTCAGAGCTGGGAGGGCCCTTAGGACACAGGATGTCAGAGCTGGGAGGGCCCTTAGTACACAGGATGCCAGAGCTGGGAGGGCCCTTAGAACACAGGATGTCAGAGCTGGGAGGGCCCTCAGAACGCAGGATGTCAGAAGTGGGAGGGCCCTTAGAACACAGGCTGTCAGAGCTGGGAGGGGCCTTAGAATACTGGATGTCAGAGTGGGGAGGTCTCTTAGGCCATAGAATATCAGGGCTAAGAGGAAGCTTAGAGCATAGAATTTCAGAGCTGAGAAGGGACTTACAACATAGAATGTCAGCGCCTGGAGGCATTTGAAAGCACAGAATATGAGGGCTGGGAGAGACCTCGGAACATAGGATATTGGAGCTTGGGAATTTAGAACACAGAAGACCGCATCTTAGTGGTCCTACTTTTCACAGATAAAGGTGAGAGATCCCAAGGGTCCCGGTAACTTGTCCTAAGTGGCACAAACAGCAGCAGAGCAGGGCCTACTCCCCAGAAGGCCTAGGCCAAAGTTTCCCCAACAAGGGGCCCCTTGTTGCCCCGCCTGTTCCTCACCTTCATACAGGCCAAGCCCACACCCGCTCCACCCCAGCCTCTTGGCTGAGCTCACACCTGTAAGAAGTAGTACAGCAACCCTGGCTCACCTTAACCTGCTCTTTGCAGTTTGCAAAACACAGTCAGCACAACAGCCCTTTGAGGTAGGCAGAGCCAGTAATGATTACACCCATTTTACAGATGAAACAACTGAGGCTTAGAGGCTTCTCCAAGAGTGCTCAGCTAAGAGGAAGCAGGAGCCAAGATTTGAACCCAGGTCTTTTGACTCCTAGTCTAGAGCTCTATAGTACATACCATGCTGTCGTCTCCTTGGCAAACATGCTGAAAACAAACTTCCTCCAAAAACTCTTCCCGCATTAACATGTGATCCAGAAGAACTCCACTGACCTCAAGCATGCGTGTGTGTGTATGTGTGTGTGTGTGTGTGTGCATGCACACACATATATAGCACCCGAAACTCTACTGGAGCTTCAGAAGAACTAACCTTGGTCTCCCTGTTATGGAACTTAGTGGCCGAAGTGCCTCCCCTTGATCAGATCCCCTCTGCTGGGCCTCACTTCTCCTGAACTCAGTATGGAGGTGGAGAACTCAATGGGGCCAGCCTTGCTCTGACTGGGGATTCAGGCTCTGTTCTTTCTCCTCCCTTAGGCCAGGGGCTCCCCCCACACATCCAATGGGGCAGGAACGACTGTGGTTCCCCTCCCCCACCCCGAGTTAAGACTCTCCCCTATATGGCTGAGAGCTCCCAGGGAAGGGGCTTTCCGGCCCTCCCCACCTGGGGACCTGGCCTCTGAGGCTCCCAGGCACAGGGAGTTTTTCTTTCCCTCACACGGGGTTTTTAAGGAGGACAGAGACCACTGGCTCCTCCTGAACCCAGAGGTTCCCTAAGTTCCCCACATCTCCTTCCCTATCCATACCACCCCCAACACAGTCAAGGCAGATTATGCTTAGCACAGCTTCACCCTGAGCAAGCTGATCTCTGGCGCGACACTCACGAACGTATCTGGGTGGGAAAGGAAGGATGTCTCAGGGAATGTGTCTCCAGCACTGGAAAAAGCACACAGATGAGATGGAAGGGGTCGGCCTCTTGCTGGTCAAGGTGGGTGAATGGAAGGCTCTTGCTTCCCTGGCCAACTAGCCCGAGGACCGATCCCCACTCAGAGCAAGGCCCAGCAGCCTCTGACTTCAGGGCTCAGTCCACGGGGGCATTGAGGGCAGAGAGCTTTAGCTCGGGTTCCACGGGGTCCATGTCAAAGAGGCTGACGGCATCGGTGCCCGTGGGTGGGGAGTGGCCAGGCATGGCCTCCCGGGGCTGCTCAGTGACCCGCAGGGCCGAGGTGCCTGAGTCCACCTCTCCAGGGAGGGTCATCCTGTGCTGCAAGGAGAAACCCGCCTGGGGGATGAACTGGGGGGCCCCACTGTGGGAATTTCGCATGGAGAGCGAGATGAGGCTAGTCCTGCGATCCCAGGCCCACCGCGCACAGGGCACGAACTTGGCCATGGCCCTTTTGAAATCCCTCATGAAGAGCGGGTAGATGATGGGGTTCATGGTGCTGTTGCAGTAGCCCAGCCAGGTGAGGACATCAAAGAAGACTCCAGGGACACAGTCACACACGGTCTGCGGGGACAGGAGAGGGGGTCAAGGGCACAAGGCACACACACAGCCTCCCACTAAGTGGTCACTGCGGACTCTGAAGGACACCATTTGCACTTCCAAAAGCACCTGACTCACTTTGTCTCTGTAGATCCTGCCCAGCCCTGCCTGGTAGTTACTGTTATGTCCATTTCACAGATCAGGAAACTGAAACTGAGACACAGTGGTTTCAGTCAATCAACAAGCATCGAACGTCCTCATCTACAAAATGAGGGGCTTGCAAAGGGACCTTTCAGCTATGAAGTTGTTCTAAAATCCCTCCCAGCTCTGACATCCTGTGTTCTAAGGCCCTCTCAGCTCTGACAGCCTGTGTTCTCAGGGCCCTCCCAGCTCTGACAGCCTGTGTTCAAGGGCCCTCCCAGCTCTGACATCCTGTGTTCCAAGGGCCCTCCCAGCTCTGACATCCTGTGTTCCAAGGGCCCTCCCAGCCCTGACATCCTGTGTTCCAAGGGCCCTCCCAGCCCTGACATCCTGTGTTCTAAGGCCCTCTCAGCCCTGACATCCTGTGTTCTCAGGGCCCTCCCAGCCCTGACATCCAGTATTCTAAGGGCCCTCCCAGCTCTGACAGCCTGTGTTCCCAGGGCCCTCCCAGCCCTGACATCCTGTGTTCCAAGGGCCCTCCCAGCCCTGACATCCTGTGTTCCAAGGGCCCTCCCAGCTCTGACATCCTGTGTTCCAAGGGCCCTCCCAGCTCTGACATCCTGTGTTCCAAGGGCCCTCCCAGCTCTGACATCCTGTGTTCCAAGGGCCCTCCCAGCTCTGACATCCTGTGTTCCAAGGGCCCTCCCAGCTCTGACATCCTGTGTTCCAAGGGCCCTCCCAGCTCTGACATTCTCTGTTCTAAGGCCCCTCCTGCCTCTGATATCCTATGGTCTTTATATGAATCTAGCAAATGGCAGAACCAGGTCTCTTGACCACAGATATTGCATTCCTTCTTCCACGTGGCTAGGTCTTTTCCTTTCCCAGGACTTTCCCAGATGCATTTCTTCTCCTCATTCCCTGTTGCCTGGAGGGGTCTGGGTTCTCGGGATCAGGCCTCCCAGAAAAGGCCATGTGAATGATCAATGAGCTGAATTGGACAAGGGACGAGTAGCAAGAATAGAAAACTAAATACCAAGGACAAGTGGCTGTTAGAGTTCAGGAGCCACCCTAGGTATGTGCTGTGCTCATTCACCCCCAGGTGACTACCCCAGTGACAGGTAACAGATTGGAATTTGGAGACAACCCCCCAGGCTCCATCTAGCTACCAGAATCCCATCCAGGATGGTTCACTACCTCAGCAGTCAACAAGCCCTAACTCTCTAGATCCCACTACCCCATTGAGTCTGAGGTCATCCCCCTACCTGCAGAAAGGCCCCCTCCTTCCCCTAAGCCATAGAGGATGCTCATTAGCCATAGGCCTGGTAGAAAGAGATCCTCTAATTTCCTCTCCTGGTTCTTTAGAGAATTTCCCCCAGAATCAGTGGGGCAAGGGGCCATCTCAGGGGGCCATGCGGTCCAGGAATCTCCTCTGTAACATCTCCAGTGAGTGGGCATCCATCTTTCACTCACACTCCACTGATGAGAAGAAGCCCACTACCTCCCCAAGACATTGCATTCCATTTTCGGACAGCTCCAGTCAGTAGGAAGGTTTTCCTGACCCTCAGTCTGACTCTGCCTCTGTAACTCCCACCCACATCTCCTGGTTCTGCCCTCCATGGACAGACAAACCTAATCCCTCTTCCATGTTGCCGCTCTTCTAATACTTAGAAGTAGTGGCCATGCCCTTCTCCTCCAGGTCTCTTGTGATCTCTGAGCTAAACAAGCCCCTGTTCCTTCAACCTGTCCTCATCCGGCATGTTCCCCAGGACCCTTGCCAGCCTGGACAGCCTCCTCCAGACACACTAGAACTTGTGAAGTCCTTCCTGGGCCCATAAGTGAGCATCATACTCCAGATGTGGTCTAGCCAGGGTAGAGTACTTCCTCTTGGGAAGTTATATCGGATATCTGACTGGAGTTTGGAACTTATTGGATCCGATTAGAACTTGTCCAGCTACAACATCTTTTATGGCCATTTACTCAGCAGGGAACCCAGGTCTCTCTATGTGAACATCACCCAAACACCCACCCGCCCTCTCCAATGTTGCTGGTTCAAGAGGGAAGCCCACAGAATTTGTTTCACGTTTGAGGCTCTAAACTGCCTTGGCGTTTTCCTCCCCAAACCCTGCCCTCGGGAATGCTCAGGCCTTACCTGGATCACATTGGCTACAAAGAAGGGTAGCCAGGCCACAAAGAACATGCCCAAAAGGATGCCCAGTGTCAAGCTGGCCTTCAGAGCCTTCCTGCTGTGCTTGGCAGCAAACCGTCTGTTCTCACTGGAGGCTGACACTGCTAGATCTGGAGTCCTTGGCACCTGCAAGGGACACAGGCCTTTGAGGATTCCCCAAGAGGTAACCGAAGGTTGACCCTTCCCTCTGCCACAGAGGATGCTCCTCTAGCACCACCCCCAGCCTGACCTCTCCAACCCTGACATCAGACTAAGCCCTAACCTCATCTGCAGAACAACCCTTGACCTGGACCAGTCATCCTAGAAATGACCTTGCTCACAAGTGGGAATTTGTGACTCTGGATGGCTCCGTGTATCCCAGTCCCACCACTGGGGGTAGAAACACAAGTCAGAATGCTGACGGTACAGCCAGGTGGAAGCTTCATTTTCATGTCTGAAGCACAAGAGTCAACAGGGGTGGGAAACGTGCAGCCCTCTAAATCCTTAAGTGCGGCCCTTTGAATCCAAATTTTATTCTGTAAACGACCTTTATTCTGTAAAATTTGGATTCAGTCAAAAGGCCACACTTAAGGATTTAGAAGGCCATAGGTTCCCCAACCCTGGTCCAGGCTCATCCAAAGTACTCTCTAATTCTTTCATTTGGGTCAAACTGTATATCACAAAAAATGGCTTTGAACTAAGAAGTTTGGAAATATTTCTGATCTATAAAAACTCTCATTGTATTTGCTGTCATGGGATTTGTCTGTGTGCTTAGAGATACGTTCCTAAAAAAAAGGCGGGGGGGGCGCATTAATTCCAATTTTTCTCTTCCATTCATTCACAAAGCACAGTGGATAGCACTGGGCTTGGAGTCAGGGAAACTTGAGTTCAAATCTGGCCTCAGGCACTTATTAGCTGTGTGACCCTAGGCAAGTCACTTAACTTCTGTCTGTCTCAGTTTCTTTAACTGTAAAATCAGTATTATAATAATAGCACCTACCTTCCAGGGTTGTTTTGAGGATCAAATAGGATAATATACTGAGCTGTGCTTAGCACAGTGCCTAATAACACATAGTAGGCACTTAATAAATGCTTTATTACTATCCTTTCTCTTCCCATCTAATCCAACTACCTACCTTTGCTCAACCATTAGTCCCTGATGTTTCACTTGAAGACCTCTGGTGAAAGGAAACCCACTACCTCCCAAGACAACTCTGTAGATTTTCATTGTGTATGAGTTGTTTTAGTTGTGTCTGACTCCTTCATGACCCCATTTGAGGTTTTCTTGGCACAGATACTGGAGGGGTTTCTCCAGTACATTTTATGGATGAGGAAACTGAGGCAAACAGGCTTAAGTGACTCTCCCAGGGTCACACAGCTAGTGTCTGAGGCTGGATTTGAACTCATGGAGATGAGTCTTAACTGATTCCCACCCCAGTGCTCTGTGCACTATGGCACCACCTAGCTGCCCTCTTCTACTTTTAGACACTCTTAAATTATTTTGAAGTAGATTTCCTTACACAGAACTAATTCTGCTTTTCTGAAATTTCTTTCCATTCTTTCTTATTCTGAGGTTAGGCAATACAAATCTAATCCCTTTTCCACACCGCTTTTTTAAATACTTGAAGCTAGATATCACGACACTCACACACACACCCCCACCTAGTCTTCTCCAAGCAAAACAACCCCAGCTCCTCCAGCTAATGCTTACATGACAAAGACACTTTGCAGCTATTAATATCCTTCTTAAATTGTGATTCCAAAAAGTGAACCCAATATTCCAACCCCTTCACTGTACAGAAGAGAAAAGTGCAGTGGACTCCAAAGTGGAGACTGGACCTTAAAAAGCATCCATTTTAATTCCTCCATCAAATATATGAGAACTTTGAGGTCATCTAGGAAAGAGACCTTCCCAGAGTCACAGAGCTACTCTTTATCAGAGGCAGAACTCAAACCCAGGTCTTGGCTCCATATCAAAATAGCCTTATAGGGGAAGCAACTGCCAGTGCCTTATAAGTATGAGCTATTGCTGGGTAAATGACTACCAATTTTGTGGTGCATTATCTATGCTTATGGGCAATGTATATGGAATTCCAGGCCAGTTGAGTGGGAAGTCCCTAGGTTTTGGTATCTCTTACCAAGCTCCCCAACAAGTTGAACCACAGAGGGGAAGGGAGTTTTCTCTATATTATTCCTGACATACAGCCTTTCCATGAATCCAATCCAATCCTGTCTTGTCCAGCCCAGTCCTGTCTAATCCATCCCAAAGCTATCCTATCCTATCCTGTCTAGTCCAGTCCAATCCAGTCTACGTCAAGCTAGTCCAGGTCCCATCTCATCCAAGCCAGTCCGATCCAATCCAAAGTTATCCGGTTCTACAATTACAAAACACTTTTTACACAAATAAAGTCAGATCTAAATAACTGGAAAAATAACAGTTGCTCATAGATAGTATGGGCTAATATAATAACAATGACAATTCTATCTAAATTAATTCATTTATTCAGTGCCATACCAAACTACCAAAAAAATATTTTACAGAGCTAGAAAAAGTAATAACAAAATTCATCTGGAAGAACAAAAGATCCAGAATATCAAGGGAATTAATGAAAAGAAATGCAAGGGAAGGTGGCCTAGCCATACCAGACCTTAAATTGTATTATAAAGCAGCAATCATCAAAGCTGCTTGATAATGGCTAAGAAATAGAGTGGTGGATCAGTGGAATAGGTTAGGTACACAAGACACAATAGTAAATGACTATAGTAATCTACTGTTTGATAAACCCAAAGACTCTAGCTTCTGGGATAAGAACTCACTCTTTGACAAAAACTGCTAGAAAAACTAAAACAGTATGGCAGAAACTAGGCATAGACCAACATCTTATGCTGTATACCAAGATAAGGTCAAAATGGGTATACAATTTGGAGATCAAGGGTGATACTATAAGCAAATTGGGAGAGCAAGAAATAGTTTACCTGTCAGATTTATGGAGAACAGAAGAATTTATGACCAAACAAGAAATAGAGAACATTATAAAGTGCAAAATGGATAGTTTTGATTAAATTAAAAAGGTTTTGCACAAACAAAGCCAATGCAACCAAGATTAGAAGGGAAGCAAAAGCTAAGAAACATTTTTTTTAACAGCCAGTGTCTCTGATAAAGGCCTCATTTCTAAAATATGTAGAGAACTGAGTCAAATTTATAAGAATACAAGTCATTCTCCAATTGATAAATGGTCAAAGGATATGAATAGGCAGTTTTTAGATGAAGAAATTAAAGCCATCTATAGTTGTATGAAAAAATGCTCTAAATCACTATTGATCAGAGAAATGCAAATTAAAACAGCTCTGAGGTACCACATCACACCTATCAGATTGGGTTAACATAACAAAACAGGAAAATGATAAATGTTGGAGAAGATGTGGGAAAATTGTTGCATTGTTGGTGGAGTTGTGAAATGATCCAACCATTCTGGAGAGCAATTTGGAACTATGCCCAAAGGGCAATCAAACCTTTTAATCCAGCAATACCACTACTAGGTCTGTATCCCAAAGAGATCATAAAAAAGGGAAAAGGACTCACATGCACAAAAATATTTATAGTATCTCTTTTGTGGTGGCAAAAAATTGGAAATTGAGGGGATGTCCATCAATTGGGGAATGGCTGAATAAGTTGTGGTATATGATTGTGATGAAATATTATTATGCTATAAGAAATAACAAGTAGGATGACTTCAGAAAAACCTAGAAAGACTTACATGAACTGATGCTGAGTTAAGCAAGCAGAACTAGGAGAACGTTGTACACAGTAACAGCAACATTGTGCATTGACCAACTTTGATAGACTTAGCTCTTCTCAGCAATGCAAGGATCAAAGAATTCCAGAAGACTTGTGATATAAAATGCTATCTACATCCAGAGAAAGAACTATGGAGTCTGAATGCAGATTGAAGCATACTATTTTCACTTTTTTTGTTTTTTCTTTCTTGTGGTTTTTCTCTTTTGTTCTGATTCTTCTTTCACAACATGACTAATATGGAAATATATTTAATATGATTTTACACATATAGCCTATATCAGATTGCATGCTGTCTTGGGGAGGGAGGAGGAAATTTTAGAACTCAAAATCTTATAAAAGTGAATGTTGAAAACTACAAATAAATAAATTTTTTAAAATAAGTACTGTTAAAAAAAATAGTTATCCAGTCCAATCCAATCAATCAGAAGTGAGAGGGTCAGAAAGTGACCACAGCCACCTGGGAGAACATGGGAAGGGGAACATGTGTCCAGGCCACCTCTAGAGGCTGAGAGTAGGGGTATTTCTGTCTGTGGACAATAGAAGAGAAGTCATAGACCCCCATCTCATTCCAGGATCCCACCAGTGCTTCAACACTTAATACGTTACAGAATCATATAACACAGAATGCCAGAGTCAGAAAGGACCTTAGATTATGTAAAGACAGAACGGGAATATGCTTTAGAACATAGACCATAAGAACAGAGACTTCTTAGATATAATCTATTCCAATTTCCTCATTTACAGATGAGGAAACTGAGACTCCTCAAGTTAACTGACTTGCCCAAGAAGTAGCAAGAAGCAGAACCTAGGATTCAAACTCTTAATTTTTAACTCCACATCTACTTGTTATGTCCCATTCCATCAATCTCCAAGAGTCCTTGACATCTCTTCCCAAAAAGGGTCTCCCTACCTTTTGGCTTTTCTCTCATTCTACCCCTAGAACTCACTTCAGCCCTAGAAGCCTTCAGGAGAGAGAGGTCCTGTCCGTGGTACTGAAATTTCCGCTGAACAATTTTGTACACCTACAGCTGCTGGGAATCCTACAACAAAAGATCATAGATCTAGAATGGGAAATGACCTTAGAGGCCATTTCTCGCATTTCATAGATGAAGACACTGAAGCACCAGAGAGGAGATATAGATATGTATGTATATATATATATATATATATATATATATATATATATAGAGAGAGAGAGAGAGAGAGAGAGAGAGAGAGAGAGAGAGAGAGAGATCTATATGCCTTGCTTAAGGTCACAAAGTGGCCTTGAACCCTATTTCCTGACTCCAAACTAGTACTCTTTCCCCTGAGCCACACTGCTAAAATGTCAGCCTTAGAAGGGACCTTAGAACATAGAATTCCAGACCATGACAGAACTCAGAAAGTCAGAGCTGGAAGGGTCCTTAGAAACAGAAATGCTAGATCTGGGAGGGCCCTTAGAGCACAGGATGTCAGAGCTGAGAGGGCCTTTAGAACAGAGAATGTCAGAGCTGGGAGGAGCCTTGGAGCACAGAATGTTAAAACTAGAAAGGATGTGCCTTCACTCCCTGATGGGGCCAGAGAACATCCCCTCAAAGACCTACTATCTCAAAGTTGGCAGGGACTTTAGTGAAAATCCAGTCCAGACATATACCTAACCAAAAATCTCCTCTGCATCATTCCTAACATGCAGCCCTTTTACAAGTCCAGGTAAGTCCAGGCAAATCCAGTTCAGTCTAGGCCAATCCTATCCAGCCCAGCCCAGTCCAATCCAATCCAACCCAATTCAATCGTATCCTATCCAATCCTAACCTGTTCAGTCTAATGCAATACAGTCCATTCCAGTCCAGTCTGATCCAATCCAATGCTATCCTGTCCAGTCCAATCTAATCCAGTTCAATCCAGTCCAATCCAAACAGGTCCAGTTCAATCCAAACACCCTGCCTCAGAGGAAAGTTGAGGCCTGACAGTCCAAACTACTCTTTCTTAAGGAAGAATGGATTGTAGCAGAGACAAATTGCCTTGTGCACTACTCCTTCCAATACAAGTTGTTTCCAGCTAAAATGCAGCCTGCAACATTCTATTAGGGAGAGACCATACGTATTATTATCCCTCTTTGATAGATAAGGAAACTGAGACTCATGGATTGTGACTTACTCGGTACCATATAACTAATAAGTGTTATAGACAGTATTCAAACCCAAATCAATTTTCCTGAGTCCCCCTTAAATAACACACCAGCCATGTTTCTACAGGAAACCGGGATAGGCCTTTCTTCTGCTCACAATCTCATTACAAATCAATTCAGTTCAACAAGCATTTATTCATTAAATGTTTGCTGAGGCAGTGGGGTATAAATGCAGTGATATCAAAATCCAATTAGCCACTAAACCATACATAAGGATCCCTGCAGACCACATATTGACCTAGAAAACCACATATTAACATTATCTGTGTTCTATTGTATTTTTATTTATTTTACTAAATGTTTCCCAATTCCATTTGAATCTAGTTTGGGACCATTCATGAGTGTTGTGGTCCACATGTGGCCTTCTGGCTGTGTTTGACACCTCTGGCGTACAGGATGGAGCCTGCCTTGTAGTTTAAAGCAGGGATGCAGTTTTATATTTCTATTGTGGTTTTCAGTTAACAAAATATTTTCCCCCAAAGCCTTGTGAGATAAGCAGAATGTACAGTGTCTATTTTACAGATGAGGAAACTGAGGCAATAAAAGCCCAGGATTCTGTCCACCCTCTCTAGAATTCAGGAATCTAGCCCCACTCAGACTGATCTTCCCACTTAAAAAAAGAGACAATTTAATGCCTTGATGGATAATCAGGAGACCATGTTTGAGCATAGCTAAGCCAGAAGCTGATTCCACTCCCACCATCAATACCAGCAGCAGAAATAATTAGAGAGCAGAAGCTTGTGGCCTAAGAAACAGGCATTATAACTGGGTCTCTTCCTTGAAACTGAACAAAATGGAGGAATTTAGAGCAAGCCCTTCTGGCCCCATGAAAGCCTACATGGTCTAATCTCTAATGGAAAGTGTGGGGGGATCTGCTCTGAGTTCAAAATCCTGACTACTGCCTTCACCTCTCAGATGCCTCATGTATAAAATGGAGAGTTTCCTCATTGTAAAATAAGGATGGTAACACTTGTATTCTCAGCTGCACAAGGTCATGGAGAAAGCACTTTTGCACATCTCAAAGCATTGTAATAAATTTGAGCTGTTATTTTTCAGTGCTCTAAAGTCTCTTACAATTCCAACACTGAACCTGTAAATGTCCAGCAAGAAACATAAACGGATCCCCCAAGATTTTATGATTCTCTGTGACCCATGGCTCCTAGAGATGGAGAGGAAGGAATGAAGGTGGGGGAGGATGGCCCATTACCCAAAATTCTCAGTTACCTGCAACGCCTCCATGTTGGTGGCAAGGGAGGCCACTTGCACTGCCTGCTTCCGGGCAGTCACCAGGATCCGACAGTAAGTAAAGGAGATGGCCACAGAAGGTAGAAAGAAGGTGAGCCCTGAAGCCACCAGGACAAAGGGCAGGCTGGCCAGCAGGCGGCACTGCCCCCCAGGGGCCAGGTCAGCCCAGGAGGCCTCCGCAGTGGCGTTGGGGGACATCAGGCCGCCCTGCTGGTGCCAGCCCATGTGCGTGGGCAGGAAGGAGGCCAGGGCAGCCAGGCTCCAGGCGGCCAGGATGAGGGCCAGGGCCCGGCACGGGGTCATGCGTCCCTTGTACCGCAGAGGAGACAGGATGAGCAGGTAGCGGTCCAGGCTGATGAGGCACAGGTTGAGGATGGAGGCGCTGCAGCACATGACGTCGAAGGCCACCCAGAGCAGGCAAAGGCTGCGTGCCAGCACCCAGCGGCCGTACAGCTCGTTAAGCATGGCGGGCGGCATCACCACCAGCCCCACCAGCAGGTCCGACGTGAAGAGAGACACCAGGAAGTAGTTCGAAGTGCTGCGTAGAGCCGGCTGCGTGCAAATGAGCAGGATGAGCAGCGAGTTGCCCCCCGCAGTCAGAGCGATGATGACACACAGGACGGCGGCCACCCATCCGTTGCCCTCGGGAGCCCCCAAACTCGAGCTACTGCTGTTGGCCAGACCCAGCTCCGAGGCCATCGGTAAGGCAGTGATGACTGGCACTGGTCGGACGAAGGCAGCAAGTTGGGGTGGGGGGGGTGCTAGGGATGCGGGGACAAACAGGGTAGAAGGTGGCGATGTTGGGGGCCCCCACGGCGCTGAGAAAAAGGGCGAGGGACAGATGGAGGCCGTAACGCGGGCTGGGGCGAGGGTGGACACACGGAGTAACCCGAGGGGATAGGAAGTTCGAGGCCCAGAGGAAGGAGAACCAAAGGGAGGCGCTAATGAGGTGCAGTGTGGCTGGGAGGGAGAGGAAGGTGCATCCTAGAGTCCGAGCAAGCAAGGGGTCTGCTCCTGGCGAAGTCGACTTTCTGTTATGATCAGTTGCCCATTTTATGGATGAAAGGGTACAAGGGACAAGAGATGGCAGTGGCAGGGGGCGCACGAGGTTGAGAAGGAAGATGAAGGTGAGAACGAGGTGCAACGTGGGCTGTGGGATGGACTTGGGGGCGCGCTGGGGAGCGCGCTGCGCGCCGAGAAGGCACCAGAAAAGCCGAATTTAGGAGCGAGGACGGGAGCTTAACAGGGGAGGGAGGAATACGGAGGGGCGTGCGGAGCCGAGGACAGCACCGAAGGGAAGCGCGCTGCACCGCGGGACTGGGGGAGGGGGGAGGCGGTGATGGGGAAGGGTCAGGAAGGTGAGAACCAGGTGGAACGAAGGAGGGTGGAACAGGAAAGGGACCGAAGGGGGAGGCAGGGGCGCGCAGGTCCAGGGGGACCAGGTTGGAGAGAGCCGTGAGGCCCCTACACTCTCAGCCCCCGCACCCGCACTCAAGGGATGCCTCCCCAGGGGATGAAGGGGCGTGGCCTGAGGAGCGCGGGGGCTAAGTAGTCTGCTCCAGAGCTAGAGACCAGAAGCCAGTTGATGGGTTGGGAGCCGGGCAACCCGCAATGGGTCTGCAGGGAGGAGGAGTCGGGCGCTGGGGTACAGCCGGTTAGAGCTGGTCGGTGGCTGAGCGCCCCAGCCCTAATGCCCAGAGAGGGTTTTCCAAGCCTCGGCCCCGCACCCTACCCGGTCCCCTTCCGCGCGCGTGCCTCTCTGCTGCCGGCCCCTACCTGGGCTGCGCTCCAGGCCACTGCAACAGGCGCCGCTGCCACCGAGGGCGGGGGTGGGGGTGAGGGGCGTGGATTTGGGGGGAGAGAGGGCGGACCTGGAACTGCCTCCCGGCTCCCCGCTTCCTGCTCCACGCTCCCTGCTCCTCACTCCCGGCGCTATGGGATAAGGGGCTGGATCCTGGATAGCTGAGGACCGCACGGGAGCTGGAGCCAGAGACCTTGCTCTGGCCAGAGTGGAGACAACCAGGAATGCCGATGCCCTATGGGGGCTGTCAAAGCTCCCTCCCCTCGTGGGGGCGGCGCCACGGGGGACCTCAGAGGCGGGGAGAGAGAGGAGATGCTCCCGAGCCCGTAGAAGGATGCCTGGAGCGTACTCTGCGGGACGAAGAGTTTATAATCACATTGGACCGCATTTCCTATTGCAATAGTTTGTCGCAGCAGAAAGATCTTAAGAGATCTTCAGAGTCTAGTATAAGTTCCTTCAAGCAGCTAGACTGTCACGGGTACAATCTCTCTGCTTCGCTGCAGAGAATAGAACCAGGGTCAATAGGTGGAAATTGCAGAAAGTTAGATTAAGGTTATTTCCTGGTAAAGAAACACTTCCTAACAATGAGAGCTGCCCAAAATTTGAACGGGCCACCTGGGGATCTGGGGACAATGAAGTGAAGTGATCTACCCAAGGTCACATCAAAGAGCTCAAACTCTTTATAAGAGATTCGGGAGTTCATTGTATAATTGTCTCCTTATATTCTTTCTAAAAACAAATGTTCATTTTTGTTGCTCTTTGTCACGTTTATAATAATAAAAAAATTAAATAGGTAATTTAAAATAGCTAGCATTTATATAGCGCCATGAGTTATCCCAGTTTGTCTTCTACCCCTGGTAGATAGGTAGGTAGGTGTTATTATTCCCATTCTACAGATGAAGAAATGAGGCAGAGAGATTAAATTATTTGCCCAGAGTCACACAGCTAAGTGTCTGAGGGCAGATTTGATCTAACGTCTTATTGACTCCAGGTCCAGTGTTCTATTCTTTACCAGGTACATAGTGAGTCCCCGACCACAGAAGGTCTTCACATTGGTCGCTTGGTGGGAATGTTGGGAGCAGCTGTGCTGAAGTAGAGTGTGGACTAAGGTAGGTAAGAACATAGACTTCGAGCTGAAAGTTACCTCAGAGGGCATCTAACACAAGTCTTATTTTGTATTATTTTGTGAGGCTGAGGAAAATGCCTCACCCAAGAGTTAGGATTTGAACCCATGTCCCCTGACTCCAAATCGAGTGGACCACAATGCCACAGGACAGGGAGAAAAATCCTTTCCAACTCTGAGATTCCACAGCATGTTGGGAAAATTCTGGAAGCCCCACATCTCTGCAATGGCCCACCAATCCTATTTGCTCTTCTCACCTGAGGTTTCCAAGATCTTTTCCGTTTATTTTTGCTCAAAACTTTTGGTTGAGTGGCATTTGCCATGTGTAGTAAGGGTCATAGATATATCATAGGTTGTGTCTTTTATGACAGAATGGAGTGTCAGCCACAACAGTGCCAAAGGTGTACCTGGATACAAATGTACCCACCCCTTCAACTCTCCACTTATAGGCTTGTTTCCTTTTTAATTCTCTCTCTGGTTTAAAAAAAAAAAGGTAGAATTCTTGAAACTATAACTAAAATTGAAGGTTCTTTCATTGGCTTGTCCTCAAATGTAAATTGGAGAAAATCTTTTCTCCCTCTGCATTATCTTCCTTTCTCAATCCTAAACTGAATACTTAAGGCATGGTCACAAATCATATTTAAAGATCATGTGCTTTCATAGCATTATTATACACATTAGTAAAAACACAGATAGGGATTCAAGCAAGATACAACAGGCTGTGATAGGAATGACAGCCAAATGCTTCCCACTTTCTTGTAGTTAGAGGGGATAATGAGAAGAAAAGTGGTACAAGGCTGACAATGCTCTGTGTATGGGGGGGGGGGGTCAGCACGGAGAAACAGGTGGTCTCACTTCTAAATTGTTGCTTCCAGGGGTTGAAGGCCCAGCATATTTGTACCAAGGTTCCTGCTGAGCTTGGCTAGAGAGAATGGACCTTAGGGGCAGCTAGGTGGTGCTGTGGATAGAGCACCGGCCCTGGATTCAGGAGGACCTGAGTTCAAATACCGCCTCAGACACGTAACACTTACTAGCTGTGTGACCCTGGGCAAGTCACTTAATACCATTGCCTAGCCAAAAAAAAAGAAAAAGAAAAAAGAGAATGGACCTCTCCATAGAGAGGCCATGGTTGTTCAAACTTCTCTATGGCTTTCCCCAGTATGAAATTCCCTCAAAATCAAAAAGGCTTGGAGAGTTGGGGGGCTCTGGATAATACCAGTGTGCCTGCATTCCTCCTCCTCCCCCAAGTCTGCCTGGCCATGCCGCTGGGCAGTGGCAGAATACTAAATAAGCATTAACTTAGTGGACAATGAATCAGTTCCCCGTCTAGATGTAGCTGTCCCAGGCTCATTATTCCTGTAATAAGGATTTTAGAGATGAGGTAACTGAGAAGCAGCGGGGTTACCTCGTCTCTCAATGTTATGAAGCATCAGAGATGTAATAGGCTTGTTGTCTCCCAGATCAAGAATATTCCTAGAAAACTGCAGCTTCCCACCTCCCTGTTAAGTGATTGGATTGGTATTCCCTGGGAAGGAACCTGCCTGGCTCCAGTGTGATAGAAACACTGAAACCTCCTGACCCCTTCTAAGACAGATTCTCCCAAAGCAGTGATGCCACCTTGTGGGGACAATGATAATGACAACTCCTTGGATTCTCAGACCTTTTCTCCTCACCATCCCAACCTACAGTAAGAAAAAAAAAAATAGCCTTTGTTTTTAAGATCAGACAAGGATGGCCAATCAGCTATACTTGGTATCCCTCAGTGTTGATAAAAAGAGATTAAGATCCCCTGAGTGGACTTTCTGGGGCAAACTTAGGAGGGGACATGAACAAAGATCACAGTCACAATAGCCATGGATGAATGGCAATTTGCATCATTGGAGGGGACATCCACATTGTTGAGAGCACAGACCCTTTGGAGTATTTTAATATCAGATTCCTTTCCCAACACACACACACACACACACACACTGAATTCTTCCTTGTAACAAAAGAAATTTTTTAGCAAAATCCAACTAACAAAGTGACTCCTTCTTGTAGTATATGTGACATTCCATACCCATGGCCCCCTACCACTTTACCAAGAAGAGTGAAGTATGTTTCTTCCTCTCTTGTGTGGGACCAAATATATAGCCCCTTTCTCCTTAAAAACGCAACAAATTACTAATGTTGATTTTTTTTCTGGTAGTACCCGAGGTTTTAAAGATGGCATTCACTCAACACATGCCCATCAGGGAAAGAGGGATGAGGAAAAATCCCATTTTGTAGATGGAAAATTTAAGGCCTTTAGTTTTGGGAGGTCTCAAAGTCACAGCAAGTTTCCATCTTCTCTTGGGAACAGCTGGTTCTTTCCTTCTTGAGATCCTACTGGAGTGTGTCGTCCAGCCATTTTTCAGTTGTGTCCAACTCTCCATGACTACATTTGGAGTTCTTGGCAGGGATGCTGGGGTGGTTTGCCATTTCCCTCTCCAGCTCATTTTTAGAGATAATGAAACTGGTTAGAGTAGGAAGTGGTAAAAAGGATAATTAATGGAAGACTAATTGGGGCTGGATACGCTTCATAGGATCACGTGGTACAGGAAGGAGCCTCAGAGGTCATCTGGGCCCATCTTTTCATTTTATAGATGAAGAAACTGAGGCACAGAGAGACAAAGCATTTTCCCAAGGCCATACAGATAGTATGTGACTTAAAAAGGGGGGGATTTGAACCCAGGTCGTCTGACTTCCAACCTAGTGGTCTTTCCACAGGATTGGTTTAGTAACCTGGTTCCTGAGCCTGTCCTAAGTAGAAGAACCAGGGATGACCACCACTACTGTCCATCACCCACTGCAGAAGAAAATCTCTAGAGGACTCCTCCAGCTCTGAAATCCTGTTCCTCTGCTTGGTTCTCATCCAGTATCCATTCCTGTGCCCATGGGCAGCCGAAGGTCATGTGGAAGAAGCCCTGGAGTTGGTATGACAGGATGTGGTACAGTGGTCGTAGTGCTGGTTCTCAGGTCAGAGGACAGGGTTGAATCCAGTCTGTATTACCTTGGGCAAGTCACTATCTCCTGGGCCTCAGTTCCCTCATCTGTAAAATGAGGGGGTTGGACTGGATGACCTCTGACCTCTGGTTTACTTCTAGAGCTAGGATCCATGACCTGAGTTTGAACCATGGCTCAGCCATTTATTAGTTCTGTGATTTAAGGGAGGTCATTTCATCCCTCAATGACTTGGTCCTCTCATCTGATAGATGAAGCTAGAATCAAGAAGACCTGAGTTCAAATCCAACCTCAGCAACTTACCCTAGGCAAGTCATTTGCCCTCTGCTTGCCTCAGTTTCATCTGTAAAATGAGGATAATAATAGCATCTTACCTCTCGGAATTGTTGTGAGGATAAAATATTTGTGGAGCATTTTAAAAACCTCAAAGTGAGCAGGTAGGTGAAGCAGTGGATAGATCATGAGGGCCTGAGTTCAATTCTAGCCTCAGACACTTCCTAGCTGTGTGACCCTGGGCAAGTCACTTAACCTGTTTACCTCAGTTTCCTCATTGGTAAAATGGGCTGGAGAAGGAAATGGCCAACCACCCCAGTATCTCTCCCAAGAAAACCCCAGATGGGGTCAAGAAGAGTCAGACAGGACTGAAACGACTCAACAAGAAAACCTCAAAGTGCTATGTACAGGCCAGCTGTTATTTGTTTTATTAACTCCCCTTGAGGCCTGTCAAGAAGAAAGCACTTTATAAACTTTAAAACACTATGGGAAGTTATTGTTACTGTGATAATTAGACCCCATCTGCCCCATCACCACACCAAGGGGTTGGGTACATTTTCCTGAGAGAAAACGGATACAGTATGATTCCATTCAAGCTCGAATTCCCCCCTCCACAGATCATGGCAGGAGTGTCCCAGAAGGACTTGGGCCCCTCTGATTTTCCCTCTCAGCAGAGAGGGAACCCAGGGGGCCAGCCTCCTGAAATATCTCCAGCTTGCCTGGAGAAGAGTAGAGCATCATAGATTTCAAGGTGGAAAGGTCGGTAGAGTACATCAAGTCCAACCCCTTTATGGATGAGGAAGCAGAGTTGGAGGTTAAGTGACTTGCCCAGGGTCACCCAGCCAGTAAGCCCCTAGGTCTCCATGACCTGTGCATTACCAATGAGCCCCAGCAGGCGGCCGCTGATCCTCCAGCCTCGATTCTAAAAGGAGCACTTCTGGACCCCCCTTAAAGAGGTGCCTTCCCTTGGCATTCTCACCTTCCTGTCCCTTTGTAAATGGCTGTTTGCACGCGGTCTCCTCCGTTGGAATGGAAGCTCTTGGAGGGCAGAAGCTATGTCTGCCTTTCTTTGAATGATAACTGTTGGCTGACTTGACCATTCCCACCCACCCCCAAAACACACAAATGCCCGGGCCCACATGACCAACCAGTGGCTCACAAAAGGACACTGAACTTCTTTATTTAGAGGGAAAACAGGCTACTGGTTACAAGTTCCAGCCATGAGTCATGAGGGTGGGGGAGGGGGACGGAAGTGGGTACGTTTATGGAGGAGACAAATACTTCCCTGGAAAAAGGCAGTTCTGGGAAGGTCTTGGGGGAGCCAGGGGCATTTCCAGGCAGCAGATGTATTCCCACCCCCTTTCTTAGGAAATAACAATAGCCCTTCTGGAGATTCCCATGTCCTCTACCCCCTCCCTCAGGATTAAAGTGCAGCTGGTTAAGAAGCAGGAGCAGAACTTGGAGAGGGAGGTACTGTGCCTCCCCCAGTGGGCCCCAAGAGTGTATCTGTTCAAACACACTTTCAACTCAACCCAGTATGACCCTCGAAGACTTCTAGATCACCCACATGGAGGTTGGCATGGTTCTCCATCCACCCTTCTCCTCCCACTGGGGTAGGATGTCCTTTTTTCCTGATCTAGGCCTTTCCTCCTGGAAGGTTTTAAGGATGGGGTCCCCACTTCTAGAGGGACAGCTCTGGTCAGTCTCACAAAAGAAGATGACAGGTGAGGAAGCTCTGTTTAATCTTGGAGAAAAACCTCCCTCCCTTCCCTAGGCTAGGCTAGGCTCTAATGAATGTCCTGGAGAGGGTTTGGACCAAAGAGGGTGGATCACAGATGGTGCTGGGGTGTCTCAGAAGAAGACAGAGAACTGTTTCTGAAAAGTTAACCCAAAGCTTCCTCCTCATCTGCACCATTCAGATGGCAGAAAGTTATCTCTTCCTTCACTCCAGGGTGTATCTATAGCAAAGCCAAGAATAAGACCTGGGGATTGTGCCTCCCCTGTGCCCAGATGTTCCCTCCAGAAAATTATGAAGCAACGCGTGAGGATCCCTGAGGGAGAAGAAGATTCTCCCCGCTTCCAGCTTCAGAATCAATGCCACATTGCTGCACCCCATCCCCCACCCCACCCACCATGCCACACATCTACACATCACTGCAATATCATCTCCTTACTGCAGATGCCCACATTTTTTAAGATGCCCATCTATTCCTTGGCAATACACCTGTCCTAGCTCCATCTGAGGCCCTGGCACCAAAGGGATACAATGCCTTCCGTCCAGCTCCTAGCCAAGGACCCTCATTTCCTACTTCTCTAGCCCTGGCTCTGGGTAACTGAAGGGCTGAGTCAATGTAACCTTTAAAAAAATGAACCCCAAGGACCCCATTTAGCCCCAATGTTCCCATCTCCCACCCCCACCCCAGTCTCCTCAGAATATATTAACATATGCAGCATGGATTCCTGTTTCCCCCTACTCTCAATAATTGCTGTGACAACCGGACAGCAGTCCAAGTCCATCCAATGACCATAGGGAGGGGGTGGGGGCCCAGCCTCTTCTCTCCCCCACAGAAAGGTGGGAAGCAGAGTTCCAAGGGAGGGGGATTGGGGAGAGGGAAGGGAAAAGGAAGGAGGAAATCACTCCTCAGCCCCCTCCTCCACCGGGTGGGTGGGACCAGGGGGTTCCTCAACCTCAAGGGAATGGCGGCCAGGGTGGGAGCCAGGATGTTCCTCTCTGCCATGCGTGAAAAAGCTCATCTCCTCATGGCTTGCCTCTTTGCCACAAGCCTGGCAGCTACAGTGGACAATCTTTTCCACCAGCTTGTCCACTCGGGGCATTTCATCATGACTGGGACAGTCCAGTGTCACCTATGAGAAAGAAGGAAGGGAAGATGTTTCCCACAGTCCACAGGCCCACTCCCATTGACGTTGCAGACCCTCAAGGGAAAAGTCACCCACTTCACCCCCAGAATCACCCTGACCAAGCACACTGGAGGACCCCCTTCCTTTCCTGGGCCTGCAAACCCTCTAAGGAGGACCAGGAAGGTAGACAGGGAATGAGAACAGATGGAACACAGCAAAAGTAGGGAGAACAGAGGACATGGAGACAATGAGGTCAGAGGTAACAGAGACAATGGAGGATGGGGGGGAAGGAGAGGAGGTGGAGGTGGGAAGGAAGATACAAGAAACAAGACACATTACATATATTATCTCCTTTGGTCCTCTGTCAACAAAACCGTAAGGTAGGTGCTATGATTATCCCCATTTTACAAATGGGGAAACAGGGTGACAGAGTTCGAGTGCTTCATCCAGGATTACACAGATAGTTAAGTGTTTGAGGCAGGATTTGAACTTGGGTCTTCCTGACCCCAAGTCCAACATTATCTACTGTACCACCTGGCTACATCCAGGAAAAAAGGAAAAACGGATGATGAATGTTAGAAACACTGGGGAGATGGAGGTGGCACGTAGGAGGAAAAAAAGGAAAAATGGAGACAAAGGGGATGTGGAGGAGGTAGAAGAGACAGAGACGATGGCAAATGGAGGAAACAGGAAGTGGAAGTGACATGGAAAAGACAAGTAATAAGAGATGGAGACAGTGGAAGATAGAGGAATGGGGGAGGGGAGAGAGACGAGACAACCATGAGAAATGGAGGCAATGGATGGTGGAGACAAAGGGAGAGGGAGGTAATAAACTGGAGGAGAGAGAGGAAAGATGAAGACAATGGATGGTGGAGACAGTGGTTGGAAGGAAAAAGAAAAAAAGAAAGACAAAGCTGATAGATGGCAGAAACAAAGGAAAGACAAAGAT